TGCCTTTTCGTGGGAAAACAGTAGATATCACAAATTAGTGACCAGGACAAAAGTTGTCAATAATGGAAATGATTCACTCGGCCTTCTCAAGTGAGCGGATTCCTATTCTTCTCCTTTTTTGTTCACTCAAGAGCTCTGCTCGTAAATACATTCACTACTATTGAACTCAATCCTTATCTTTCCGTAGACTAGCAATCCAGGCTACCTCTTCTGATTTTCCAAACTCCTCTTTATAAAAGCTCGTTGTAGTGGGTATCGAGATGGGATCATAGTCCAGAAGCAACCCATAAAGCCTCGCAAGGGGCTGGTATATGCAGTGCTGTTAACTGTATTGATAAAATACTGAAGTACAAATATCCTGTATATTAATATTTGATATTCGGGTTCAAGATCATAGAAATAGAAAATTTACTAGAATCCGACAGTGAGAGATGTTGAAAGACGGTGGAAACAAGATGAGACGGCCAATGAAGACGCTGACGAAATTGCACTCAAACATCTGACACCAACTCAAGCGAACTCTTTGGTGCTATTTTTCGGAGGAAGAACACGTTGTGTAGAAAACAGTTGATCACAACTAATATACTCTTCTTGGTGCGTTATTTAGCACGCAGAATCTAGCTTGGGCTACTTCGGCTCTTATAAGGAGCCCTACCCTCATACCACTTTTGAAAATATCCACCACTATTCAGCTATTCGTTGTACGTCTTATGACCACAGTACAAGTCCTTCAATCGTATGGATGATTGTATTGGGCTAAGTATCCAATCTGGGTGCTAAGTGAATATTTTATGAGCTACTACTCCAAACCCCGCTTCGAGACACTGTCAAGAAGGTCTAGCATATTTATGGCATCTTTGAAGAGCATTAAGATGATCCAGGGTTTGTGAAACGCCCTTCTTTCTGCGTGGCGAATATAGTTAAACGTTGACCAAAGCAATATCTGCATATTTGCATGTATAAGAATGGAAGTCGATAGATCATCTGACGACAATGAAAGTGGTGGCAAGATGAGCGACAATGCGAACATATAAGTGACAGGCGATATAGAAAAGTATTCGGCGATGAATAATCACAATTTACTGATCAGCTGAGAATATCATAATTTATTTTATTCTTCAGATGAGTATTGAGTGATTGGTGGACATTCCAAATGTACAGTCTGGAATCTAAGAGATGTTTCTCCATCTCTCATCGTAGACCATATGGAAGGCGCCTGCTCAGTTTCCAGTGACACGTATGCAGAATTTTTTTCGGAATAAGGTTTGCTTTTTTACAGACTTCTGGTGCCTCTTTCTTCTCTTTTCGATCTGATTCACTCTGCTTCCGAATCCAGTGGGTGCTAGTTGCAGTCATTCACATGTGCAATTTTTCACAGGAGTGAATATCTCTGCTTCCCCTCACTTAAACAGAACATAGATCTCTATTTAAGTGGTCGTCGCATTCATAATAAACCAATCAACGCTTGAGAAAACAGGTATACGGTCCTCACAATAGGGTTTGCCACCTCAGACGCCAAGATGTACATGCAGCAGTCCACATCTGAAGATACCTAATCATAGAGGCCTAGCAGCTGCTTATTGGAGTCGCGTAGGAGCCAACAGAGTAAAAAGAACGGCGGGAAGCTCTGCCTTCTTAACGCTGTGTCGTGTCTTTGTGACCACTAGAGCTATTGACATAGTTGCCAACAACACAATGATATGGCACAACTTACTTCCAGTTCAGCACTGTCATATCCAGGGTTAAAGAACATGTGTTTTGGGACACTTATTTTCAAGATAATATCTGTAGAACCATAAAATCATGACAAGCAACGACAACCAGCGAATGGACAGTGATTAAGTAGCAACAACACATTCCACCGACATTCAATTTGTATCAACGCAAAGCAGCATATGGTAGAAAATCTCTCCGGTGAGAGTCGTACTTGCTACAAAGAATCAGCAGCTGAAAATCGATAGCATTATTTGTCAAAGCTAAGTTAAATTGGACTGTTTTCCAATTGTATGCACTGTAGAAATAGCCCTATGAAACACCTGCTCTTGCTTGGCCTTCAATCCTTTTACTATTGAGAAAAGGAGACAGGACAAGAAGGGCTCTTTATAAAAGACAAAATCTGCTTGTGTACTTCATCCCAAGTCCTATCCCTTTTAGCTGTAATTATCAGTGAGTGAATCACATAGTCTAGTAATACAATTAAGCATTTCCGAGCTAAGAATTCCCCATTTTTGGTGATGGCTTCGTCTTAACTCAACATTCATTGGAGTTACAGCCGTCTATTTAGGAAACTGATGTACATCTAATTTTCACTCCCTAGGTATAACGATCAGTAATTCGATGGATCAATCGATGACAATGCCGAGTGATCAGGCGTCAAGTCATCATGGAATGTATTTCGTCTATATGGATAGTAAAGAAAAAGCTATCGAAACAACTACGACATTAAGAAATAAGAACTTTGACAGCGAAGAAGAACTATATGTGATGACTTAGAAGAAATAAAACATAAGAGTTCTGGAATCTACTTACTATACATGTAATACTTTTCCAACTAAAATATGGGATTATTCAACTTTTTATACCCTAGTTTATTTATTATAAGAAAAGATAAAATTAATTTTTTTTAGAAAATATTATTTAATTAATCAAATTTAATAGAAAAACGAATAGAATATTTTTTTTAAATAGGATTTAAAGTAATTAAAGTTGAAAACTTTGAATTTTTATGAAAATTCGCTTATTTTATATAGGAAAAATGTTATATGTTAGAATTTTAGAAAAATTTCGATTTCAATTCTGAATAATTAATCAACAAAAATGATGAAAAATATTTTAATCAATTTTTTATATTTTAATTACAATTGTTTATTATTTTTTTCAAAGATAAATATAAAGGTTTCAATTAAATATTAGATTTATTAGTTTATATAAAAAAAACTCACTTTTTGCGGGGATTTTGTCACATTTGTTACAGGGGTGCGGTAAGTAGGTTCCAGAACTCTTACATTTCAGTGACTCATTTTTTGTCCCTTCGACTCGCACATATACAGTTAGACAGAAATGAAGCCGCGTTCCACGAATGATGTCAGAAACGCAAAAACGAACTTGGCGTGCGCTAGTTAAGATAGCGGGTAGTAGACAGGAGCAGGGTCAGCTACGACATGATTCTTTTACGCGCCTCCATTTATGTACTATCTATACGTAGGAGAAAAAACAGGCCGGAATTGACCACTACGCAATGGTACGTGCACCCTCACCAAAACAACGTGTAGAGAGAATTCCGGCCCGTTTTTTCTCCTACGTATAGACTATGTCCTCATCAATCCTCTGTTGGAGTACAGAAAAACTTGGCTATACCGGACTGGGATATACCGGAATCTTGAATATACCGGAATAATTTCTTGATTTGACCACTTTTTATATAAGAATACCGGATTTTTGAACAAAATTAATATACCGAACACTTTTTTCATGAATCCAATATAAATTTTGGTAAAAGATTTGACTGAATAAACTGAATTTTAGATAAGTAAGCTTGATTAACTATAATCATATAATATTTTTCGAAAATATTAGGGTTTGGAACTGAAATCGGATATAAATTTTGATTATGAAACTTGAACTACCATTTTTTATACCGAAATCATGGATATACCGGATTTGATTAATCGAAAATTTCAGTTCGGTATAATCAAGTTTATCTGTAGTGCAAAAATAAAGTACGGTGGTAACCAAAACTCTTGAGAATATAACTGAATAATACTACTATACACTCAATTCCATACAGCTCTCAATTAATTAGAGAGCTAGAGAACACTCGTACTTCTCAATAGTTCAACAACTTTCTATGTTTCGAAAATTCGGTATCAAAGGTTGCTAAAGAACTCGTGTTATCGATCATTCGAGTCAAGGGGCATGAAATTTCTTTTTAGAAGACGAAAGACTTCTCTACATCTTCCTACCGTAAAAACTCGATAAACTGAGATCCTACTTAACCGTATTTAGCCTAGCATATTGCTGATCTTTCTAGTCGGACTTATTGAAATCCGATATTTTTTTTATTTTTTTTAATTATTTATATATCTAAAGTATGTGAATTATTTTTCGAAATTGAAAATTAGAAAAAAAATTGATTTTAATTTTTTTCTATTATTAATTATTAATAAAATTTTCAATTTGAAAGTAAAATATTAATTGTTTATTTGATAACAATTTATTGAAGTTTTTTATAAAAAAAATTTGTTTACAAATTGATTTAGTTTGTAGGGTGAGGTGTTTATTGTATAGATAAGAGAATTCACTTCAAGAAAATGACTTCAATACAATAACAACTGTATTAAAGGTATTTAAGTGAAAATAAAGGAAACTAGCTCTTTCAGTAGTGCCTATATAAGGCCTACTATTTTCCTTATTAGCTAGCTCCTTAGATTGAATACAAATAGATATTTAGGGGTCTACTTATAGTGGGAACCACGTCTTCTGTATCTCTCTCAAACCAACATTTATATTAGACTAAATACGGTTAAGTAGGATTTTAGTTTATCGAGTTTTTATGATATTGAGTATCTCATATTTGAAGTCTACTAATCTCCACATTGGCTCTATTTTATTGAAGTATTTACGTAATTTTCTATCGAGACTTATAGAATTGAATTGGATTGAAATTATTCAAGATTCTCGACTTGAAAGACTCTAAGGTTTCCGAATATACTTAAGTTATTCTGATCATTAATTTAGATTATTGCAAGGAAATTTGGTATCTCAAGATACTTATCATTTAGCTTTAGAACGATATAAATTCCTCAACGTTGAACTTATAGAAATCCTTCAATTTGACAATTAAGCGAGTACATAATCCTGCTCCAACGTCTCCTTCAAAATCCAGACTTCGAACAAAATCAATCCTCTTTTTATGGTTTCCAGTTACTTGTTGGCTCCAAATCGTAATCAGTAGGTCTACTCACTCTTCTATAAATAGACAGTTTATAATTTCGTACGCAATGAACGCCAAATGGGCCGTTGTACTACGTATGTCCTGATTTTGACCACTTATCGAGCAGGTCAAAATATACTATTTTTAGAAATGTACGTAAACATAATCTTTGCGATTGCTCATTGCTCCCTATATAATTCAACCCATCTCATTTTCTCTCGATTTCTATCATAGAATCTCATTTTCATACAAATACAATTTCCAGATTCAAAATCCACAACTATTCACCTTCAACCGTCTATCGACTATCCAACAACTTATACCACAGTATTCACAATGTCCAAAGTTTCTGTAACTGATAGCTCACTGTGGTTCGAGTGGGACGACGCTACATTGAAACGCAAAGCATATGCCACAGAATCTGACAATGCACAAGATTACGCCGATAGACACGCTGCAAGAGATATACGTAAGGGGCGAAAAGAATGGTCAAGTGAAGAAGTGATGAAAAAATCCAATGCTTCAAGATATGATTATGAGAATTATGGGGACAAAAATGTAGCAAGAGCTATAATTAAGAGGGACCGCAACGATGCCAGCAAAGAGGCCCATGAAAAGGCCGAAACGGCAATGGCAAATTTATCAATAGATGGTCCTCCAAAACTTCCTAATGACAGAGGAACTGCATCTAAGGATGCAACGGATTATGACAATCTGAGGAGGGGGAAAGAACCACAAAAGCGCAAGCCAAGTGTTCCTCTAGTCGCGAGTCAACCTTCAAGCGGAAGCGGTAGTAGACCAAGAACAGATAATGCGGGAGTACAAGGAAGGGAGGGTCGTAGTAGTGCCAGAGAAAAAGGCAAGCGTAATCGGTCTGCTAGCGCCTCTAGGACTAGAGATCCAGCAAAGAAACCTTCCACTGCCAGCTCTTCGAATTCTGGCAAACCTCCCACTGCCAACTCTTCGAATTCTGGCAAACCTCCCACTGCCAGCTCTTCGAATTCTGGCAAACCTCCCACTGCCAGCTCTTCGAATTCTGGCAAACCTCCCACTGCCAGCTCTTCGAATTCTGGCAAACCTCCCACTGCCAACTCTTCGAATTCTGGCAAACCTCCCACTGCCAGCTCTTCGAATTCTGGCAAACCTCACACTGCCAGCTCTTCGAATTCTGACAAACCTCCCACTGCCAGCTCTTCAAATCCTACCGGCGGAACAGAACCTGAACCCAGGGCCGACTACCCATACACACAGAACAAGGAAGGTCGTTACATATGCCCAGAAAAAGGCTGTGAAACCAAGAGCTACTCTGAGAGATTCAGATTTCGATCGCATTACGACACTATTCATACGGGCAGGGCAAAGTTATACTATTGCGAGCTTGGCCATGAATGTAGAGAGGAACCATTCGATCGACACGATTCATACCTCAAACATTTGAGATCGGTCCGGCATCAAAGAAAACAGGCAGAACATAATAAATAATTAGCAAAAACAACAACACCTGAAAACTGTGAGGATTAAATTATTACTATACTATCTGTTGGAACACGTGAATAAAACGTGTCATGAGGTCATACATATTACGTTGTACCCCGCATATGCACTCCGTGCGTATGTGGGATGATAAAGAATGTATAGAATAGCATCCCCCCTCGAGCCCCCTTCGTACGAAGGCGGTAGACAGAATTACAATACGTTTTAGCCCTATATGCGTTGTGTATATACCTCACAAGTCTGCTCAACATCTTATCTCAATTACTCAAATCGAGCAAACAATAAGATCAATCGAAAACGTTGGGTTTCTTTCTAAAGATACTACTAGTGGGTATACGGACTAACAGGACAGTACAAAAATGGACTTGTGAATATCTCTTGACATATCGAATTACATATCTTGAAAATTGTTACAATGATTCATTGGATATTAAACAATCAAAATGTGAGTTTTTATATCAAAAAATTAAACATTAATTATTACACGCAATAATAGCATATTACGAGGAAGAACAGTGATTGAACGAAATGATAATAATAGGGTCATATATTAAATTACAAAAAGAACTAATCTTCTCTCCGAGTGAAGAGAAGAAGCGAGTGCGTAACTCCAACACCTCTTTTGTGAGATTGTGCTGAGTTTTAAACAAAACCAACACCTCTTTCTGTGCTGCCTAAAAATTCAATATTTCCTCGTGGCCTACAGGTCTACTCACCGTTCTGAGATGAGACAACATATAACCTCGTGCGAACTGGTCTTCAAAAGGGCCCTTGTACTACATACGTCCTGATGATGACCACTTTGAACTAGGTAAAGATAATCTGAGGATATGATTGATTAATATGACGATTAATACGATGAAAATTTTACACACCACCGCCAATATAGTGGAACAATTTGAATGAAGAGATTGATCAGAAGGGTTGATGGAAATGTATTTAAACAGTGCCTTTTCTATCGTTCTTTACTTCATTATATAAATCATCTCATCTCATATTCTCTCGACTTTGAGTACAGAATCTCATTCTCATACAAACACAATTTCCAGATTCAAATCTATAAATATCCACCTCGTCTACCTTTATCCGTCTATCGACTTTCCAATAACTTATATATAGCAAGAGCTATAAGTATGAGATCTCGAGAGGATACCAGCACAAAGGCCAGCGGAGATTCCTCCAAGCGCGATCGCAGTGCCTCTAGAACCCGAGAATCAAAGAAACCTGCCACTGATTCTACCAAGACCGGAACTCCCAAGGCTAGCCCTTCAAATGCTTCCGCTTCTAACTCTTCGCAACCTTCCGATCGTTTCATTACTACTGGAAATTCTAGAATACATCCTACATATGGTACTCGGGGTCTCCCCAAGCCTTCCCCTGGCAGCTATCCAGAACCTAAAAAATCACCCGCTGCCAGCTCTTCAAAATCCTCCAAAACCCCCACGACTAATGCTGCTACCCCCAAACCTACCAAACCTCCCAACGTCATTGCAAGCTCTTCGAATTCCACCAGCGGATCCGGATCTGCAGGCAGAACGGACCCACCAAAGAAAAAGACACCTCTCATGTGCCCAGGATTGCACTGCAGGTTCATAACTTTTGCCAAAGAGGAGGACCTTACAAAGCATAAGCAGGACGAGCATCCGAAAAAACGATAGATATATACACGTGAAGCGGGATGATTGTGGAGTCAACCCATTCTTGCGTCAAGATGCACTCGACCAAAATCGTAGATTGAAGATGCATAAGGTTAAGGTTACAGAAGCCCAAGCAAAGTGCGATAGAAGAGCGAGCGAAAACAACAAAATAATTGAGAACTATGGAGATTGGAGTATCAAAACATCAACGCATCCACGCATTAGAATTTTGGAGTACTACCTAGTTATTGGAGTTTTCGGCGTTCCATACATCGAGGACATATAAACACTACACACTACACACTACACACACTACACACAATATCCCCCCCTTCCCACCCCTCATACCCAGACATATAGTATAACCAAAAAATAACCCCCCCCAAAAACTCATTTGCTCTCATCAATTCAACAAGAATATTTCAATATCAAAAAATCGTGACTATATATACCTACCTACTTACAATACCTAGATATATATTAACCGAATATAGGTACAGAATGATACATTATTGCATACCCGTGGACCTACCTAATCAAGCTATATACCTAACCCGATACAGAAAAATCACTCTTCACTCTTCACTCCCACTCCTCACTCCTATAGAACACAAATCCCCAGATGATGAAATTTCTCGCAAGGTCTAAACTATTAGGGGATACCGCTAGAGTTAATAGTATATTACAAATTAACTCTCTTTATCTCTTATACTCCTCTTATACTCCTCTTCTCCCCTCCCCCAACCCCTCGCTTAACCGCAAATCCAGAATCCAGAATTCAGAAAACAAAAGACAAAAGACAAAAATCAAAAATTCCCCCTTCCATTCCATCACAACTTCTTTTAATTCTCCCTCCCTTGTATTGAAAAAAAAAAAAAGATCCAATCTATTTTCACCTATTCAGATATCCATCTCCTCATATCCATACTATCCACACTATCATACAGATATCGAAAGCTACTTTTCTCTCAACTTATACTTGTAAGATTCGATTTGTAGTTGATAGATAGGTAGGTATATAAATATAGGTACTATATGTGTATACATCTATCTACCTATACATCATATCAAAGAGACGAGAATCGTGGACTTCAGCTTTGAATTCCTAATCCCCAACCTCAAACCTCAAACCCTAAATTGCGAATCCTCAATCCTCAATCGTTCACTCCACACCTTCTCTTCAATTGCATTCCATTCATTCATACCAAGAACTCAGAGATAATAATCGTAGATAGCCATGTTAATTGTTAAAGGCACTGTCATTAAACCCATATCATACATTTTCCTTCAATCCATTTTCTCCATTTTCCATGCCTACCTTTCTTCTTTCCCACCCCCCTCCCAATCTCCAGGAACACTTCACCCCCCTCATCTCAACAGTATCTCCTCAATTTACACCCTACTCAACCCCAAATCACCAAATCCCCAAATCTACAACCCACTATTCTGACTCGTTCCGTTCCTAAAATTTAACAATCAGCAAACCACTCACCAAAAATCCAACATTCCCAAAATACAAAAAATCATCTCACATAAACAATATTTCAAGAACTCGCTCGCTCATTACAAAGGACCATCTCACTTATGTTTCTCTTCGGCATGTCCCGCAGTCTCCTTTTGTAATTCCTTGATTCCCTCTGCGGAATGATCATCATGTTCGTGGCGATCTGCTGCTACCTGTGTGTTATTGTATTAGTGAACTGTCTTTCCTTATAATTATTTTGTACGACGTAGAGTTGAGTATAAAAAGAAAAGGAAATAAGAAAACGCCAATAAATAAGATAAAGTAAATCTCACGATTGAGGAAGGGAAGTAAGGTAGGTGAAACTACTCAGTCCCCCAATCCCCACTTGCTAGTCCCTCCCTTTTCGAGGGGTTCCCCCTACTTATCTCCACCCCTCCTTCTCACACCCTCACAAAAGTAATCAAATTCTCCTCCCAGGCCCTATTTCCTCAAAGTCTCCAACTCACTAGACAAAAGAGAAAATCTATACGGTGTATTTCCACCCAAGTATCTTTTCCTCCGAGACCATTTTCTCTTTCTCATCCTTCACACCCCTTGATTTCGTAGCCAAGATCGTCTTTCTATCTCAACCCTTCCGAACACCAATTGATTGAACCAAAATTTCAGATGGGAAGATTGAATTCCGTGCAGCTTCCATACATGCGAGACTTCTCTTGAGCTACTTTCTCTTTACACATATTGAAGACCAGTTGTACAATCGCAGGAAAATTTATAAAGTATGAGACCAAGAATAACCTACAGCTTCTTCACTATCACTAGCCAATTCTGGTTTCCAGTGATTCTTTCCCTCCTTTTGTTTGGCCAATTGATCTTGCTTATGACGTTCATAATCCGCAGCTTTTTCTGGGGCATCTAAATTTCATGCATCGAATTAGTATCTCTTGATTTTTAAATCGATTCAATGACTTCGGACGGAGATGAAAAGGTGCATAAGAGTATTATCCTTAGAAAAGAGCAACAAGAAGTGAAAAGAACTCAAGAACAGCAAATCCATCCTAGAATCCATACACCAGAGCCCCCGTATCTCGTATCTCGTATTTCGTACTCAATTACTTCATCCCAACCCCTCCGGACATATGAGGTCCAAAATATCGCAGAGGTAATGCCGCATACAATTTCCCAAACGATTCCATCCAAATCATACTTCAAAGAAGAAAACAACTCACGTCTATCGCTCTCTTTTAAAGCTCGCATGCTCGAGATGGCAAATGTACGTTTGATGGGGAAAGCGATGGAGACTGGACGAGCAGCTCGAATGGATTGACGGAGGATGAAAGACATTTTTGTGTTTGTTGTTGATTGAGGTGAATGTGAATATGAATGTGAATGTTTTATTTCTAATTGAAAGGGATTAGTTGATTGATTCTTCATCTTCTTCTTCTCCTGATCTTCTCTTCTTCTTCTTCTTTTCCTGTACTACACAATCAAGAAACCAACGAAAAAGACGTATAAACACCAATTCATCTCACCCAGCTGAATAACTTACAATTTAATCGTTCTTCCTAACAAATCTCAAATCTCAAATCTAAATCTCAATTGAAAATATCAAATATAAATATAAAAATTAACATCAACAAGAAAGAAAAGAAGAAGCAAGCACAATAATAATCCCCCCTCCCTCTAGCTCCCCATCCCATCCACTAGTCCCAAAACCATTCTACCTCATACCTCACCATCATACCTAGGTAATCTCTCCCCCTCCATTGGTCTCTCCCATCATCCTCTCATCATCATCCTCTCATCATCATCCTCTCATCATCATCCTCTCATCATCCCAACTCAAAATCCAATCCTCGATTGAAGAAAACCTGCTCCTAGACATGACATTTCATGTGCATTCTCGCATTTCGAAGCTTGGTGGTGGGGAAGTGGAAGATGTGGGACATGATGACGTCAATGATTTACAGGTTCCTAGGTACTCTGTTCGTACGGATAGATATAAAGTTATACAATACCGGTATGCACGATATGCACGATATGCACTCAGATCAGCATCATGATCATAATCACACAAACCCATCTATCTCATTAAGGTTATCCTCGGTACATATATAAGTATCCGTACCTTAACCGATAGATTCCTGATGTCTGGATTTTAAGGTCGAGTACGATATCGATATTGATGAAGAATTCTCGAGTCATGCAATACAAGTATGGCGAGAATTACGATGCTCGTCCTCCATTTGTAATTCAGGGGCTGCAGACTCCGTGTCCCTCCAACACGTATGAATGGTGTGTGATGCACGTTGATAATGCACCACCCAGTGCAGAGTCCATACATCCGCTATCCACCATCCACCATCCAAACATTCGACGCCGAGGTCTCAAGCCCGAGATTTCAAACCTTCATTTATTCATTCACACTGCGATTCTCGGACTTGTCTATGATTGTTTTATGTGTAATTGAATGTAATGTACTGGTAATATAGGTAATAATACCATACTTCATTCAATACAGTACCAATCGACTTTCGACTTTCGACTTTCGACTTTCGTATTTCGTATAGATACAGATACTGATATCAATCTACTCATCCATACTCCCACTCATACTCACAGTACTCGTAGATATCTAGATAATCTATAAATAATACCTTATGAAATATAAATCGTCGAAATTAGATTTCTTTCCTTTCTTCCTTTATTCCTTACCTAGATATACTCATCTACTATACGTACACTATAATAAGTACTTTGAATACCTAGGTAGTATCGATATATTATCAATAAAAGATTTCTTTCCTTTCCTTCTTCATTACCTCTATCTCTATCTCTGTCTCTGTTCAAATTTCTTAATCAAATACTACCACACAGATACCAGAGTGAATACTACAGCCCCCTCTAGCGTGGTTTTTAGCTTTCTAGCACCTTAAATAGCTTCAATCTTTCATAGGAAATACAATCAAGCTTTTCACCCCCTTCAATACGTATTTAGCCTCTTTTCTGGTGACCTACGCAGGGACAAAATGGATATGGTTTCCAATCTCCTCTTGATTCCTTTCAAGTATAAGGCATGAAAGATACCCTTTAAATACTACGAATTGCTTCATCCTTTTCAATACGATATATTACAGTTTTCTGCGACGTCTTTATTGATGGTTTGTAGGCTGCAATACCTTTCGAAATCCCTTCTTTTCGATTTCTCCATTCTCAATCTCCGAATAGCATCACTTTTCGAAATCTCTCGAACCTCTTTTGAATCACCCTTTTTGAAGACCTTATTCGAATCATCTTTCGAATCCTTATTCGAACCTCCTTCCTCCTTTCAACAATACGATATTCGACCTTTCAATTTATACTACAAGTCAACCTACAATCACTCTCTACGATACCATTTTAAGTTTACGTTTTTGAGGACATTATTAGAGCTATTTAGAGGCTCTAGAGCACTGTGTAGTGACTCAATGTCAGCTGGGGACCCTATCGTGGTATAGAATATCCAGGTCATTTTAGTGTTTCCTTTCGAATTCGAATAGTTACCTTTTCTACGCCTACCCTTCAAGTTCTTCGATTAGTACGTCACACATAGTTTCAGTTTCGACAGGAATATCGCATACAATACAATACAACAGGAAAGACAATTCAGACTTCAATATGCTAGGAAATTGAAGAGTGGATGGTGTATTACGGTTCTTAGCTTGAAAGCTAGTTCCATTTTCGAGGCAGTTGGCCTTAAATTTCAGGGGATAACTTGATTTTCTATATAGTTCTATACGGGGGCGTATAGTTCTTTTTTGGGATGGACTAGATACCAGAGTGAATACTACAGCCCCCTCTAGCGTGGTTTTTAGCTTTCTAGCACCTTAAATAGCTTCAATCTTTCATAGGAAATACAATCAAGCTTTTCACCCCCTTCAATACGTATTTAGCCTCTTTTCTCACACCTATTATTTATTATTCCATCTAACTTTGGGCCACTCGAATCCAGCCGAGGGACAGACGAATAGGAGACACGCCCGGAAGCCGGAAAGTAGACGAGGTGCAGTCGCTGCATAATGCGTCGATGCAGCTTTCTTCAAGAGACAATTCATCCAATTTAAAGTTTATACCATGGATAAAATTGTCATGGCAAAGACCCTTCCGAGTGGGATGTCGAAGATATATAAAAGCCGTGCGAGATATCAGAGACCAGACCCGCGAAAGCATCTGCAACGTCAACTTTCCTTTACCTCGTTTACCTAAATTGTCATACGATTTCCGAGCATCACAATGTTGCCCGTGGCTGCTTTCGCAGCATTCCTCTATCTTCTGTACACTGTGATTTCCACCATCCGGGTCCTGTACTACCATCCTCTCAGTCACATCCCCGGCCCCACACTGTGGATCGCTTTTCCCATATTTCGTCACCTCGCGTTGCTTCGAGGGAAGCAAGATAGCGCGCTTCGAGCTCTCCACCGCAAATATGGCGAGGTTGTTCGATTTTCTTCCGATGAGGTTTCCTTCATCACCGCCCAAGCCTGGCGGGACATTTACGGCCACGGCCATAAGCAACTGCCCAAGTTCAAACACTCGGCTGCAAACCCTCTGGATATCATTAACGCAAACGATGCAGACCACTCTCGATACCGCAAATCAATGTCTCATGCCTTTTCCGCGAAAGGACTGCAAGCGCAAGAGCCGATTTTGAACAAATACGTCGAGAAACTGATGACGAAATTGGAGCACGAAGCAACGTCTCGGGTGCCTGTCGATATGGTGAAGTGGTATAACCTGACCACATTTGATCTGATTGGCGATCTTGCCTTTGGACAGTCTTTCGACGGGCTGGAAAACTCACAGTATCACTTCTGGGTCTCGACCATTTTCGAATCCGTGCGCGCCATCCAGTTTGTCAAAGTCGGGGATCTCTATCCTCTGCTCTTCCAATTCCTCAAACCTTTCATGTCCAGTGATTTGGCCAGCGCACGCCAACGACAGCAGGACTACAGCAAAACCGTGGTGCAGAAGAGGCTTGCGAACCCTGCACCCTCCGACCTGGTCGACTTCATGGATTCCATGCTCCGCCATCGCGGGGAGAAAGATGGGCTCAGTGACGAAGAGCTAGTCGCAAATTCCAGTATTCTTGTGATCGCCGGCAGCGAAACAACCGCCACGTTGTTATCGGGTGTGACCTACCTCCTTCTGAAGAACCCGGCGACGATGCAAAAGTTGACGCATGAAGTGCGAACGGTCATGCAATCCGAAGAGGACATCACTTTTGCAAACGCGACGGCAAATCTCCCGTACATGTTAGCCTGTCTTGAAGAGGCCCTTCGAAGGTATCCCCCAGTCGCAACCGGCTTGCAACGAGTCACCACTGCGACCACCAACATTTCAGGCTATGAGATCCCCCCCAACGTAAGATCAGAAGCACCATCCATCATCCATCCCGAAAAAATCACTAACAATCCCCCAAGACCAGGGTAGCTGTCCACCAATCCGCCGCCTACGATTCCCCTCTCAATTTCCACCTGCCCTCACGCTACATTCCCGAGCGCTGGCTCCCGGCCGCGAAAAGCGATCCCGAATCGCCCTTCTTCCACGACAAGCGTGACGTGCTGCAGCCCTTCTCCGTCGGCCCCCGCAACTGCATCGGCCGCAATCTCGCCTACAACGAGATGCGCGTCATCCTCGCGCGCATCATCTGGCGCTTCGACCTCGAGCTCTGTCCGGATTCGCAGGCGTGGGACGTTCAGAATTCATACACCTTCTGGGAAAAGCCCCCGCTGATGTGCAAGTTGACACCGAGGGCCCGTTGAGAGGTGTGATGGATGTGCTAGCACATCCATTTAGAGGGGTACCATGTTCATTCATCGAACCAAAATCAGGAAAACAAATCATCGACCCCTTCCCAATCTCACTTCCCACAAATTAATCATCCCGTCCTCTTCTCAAAAATCAGATGCGGATATAATCTACATAGCTAATATATAAATACCCCGATAATCCCTTCTCCCATCCATCCATCCATCCTCTCCTAATCGGGCGGTCAGAACTTAAGTGAAGTGGGATCCTGTATGTATATATGTATGTATACATGTATCTAGATAGAAAAATTACAGGAAAATACATCTACATCTACATTTTCCCATTTAAATAAAATAAAATTGAAACCCCGATTTAATTTTCGTAAACATTATAAGAGTTTAAACCCCAGCTTATCGCACATCATTTGATTTCGTAATAAAATCCCTTCAAAAAAGTCATTTTCGTATATATAGTACTAGGGCACAGCTATTCGTCGAACACTAAAATCACACCAAAACTCATACAATTCACCTATATATTTTCTTACTTATCTTTTATTAATAATAATAATAAATGAAACTCATATTATATATTTTATCTATATTCTCTAAAGCTTTAACAAAAATTAAAGAGTTCATTTTTTCAAAACCCTATCAATCATATAATTTAAATTTAAACATAAAATTAATAAACACAAAACAAAAATGATAAAATATACTAATAAAACAAGCGAAAACCAAGAACCTTTTTTCTTCTTCTATATTCATTTAAATAATTTATATAAAACGAGATAATAATAAAAGAATATATATAATATAATATAAATAAATTTTTTCAAGATTATTTATTATATAATAAATATATATTTGAATTTTCATTCAATTAATTATAATACTAATTTTGATAATTTATTTTTTTATCATTATAAATAGAATAAAATGATTATTTTTAATATGATTTTTGAAACTAACGAATAGCTATATACGGTTACTATAAATTTATTTCTCTTATAATCTATTCAATAATTCAAAAATTAATTAAAAAATCTGTTCTATAAGAAATTACTATATATATAATCTTAAAAAATAAATAAACAAATCATTTCTAACATATTTTTTTTTTAAAAAGAAATATATAATTAAAAAATTTCAAAATTGAAAGTTTTCAAAAGTTATTATATTATATATCCCCTAAACTACTAACAGAGGACACCTCGCTCTATTAATTAATCAGAATATTAGAAATTTGAGAATTCTCATTATCGAAATCTAAGATTTTTATAATAATTATTAACTGTTTATAATAATATCTTTTAAAATCTTTTTATAATTATTTTTCAATAAAAAAACATAGATATATATTTGATATATTTATTATTATTTTCTTAATAAATTTCAAATTTCAAATTTAATATAAAAGCTTTTTATTATAATATTATTTATTGAATTATTAATAATTAAATTTGTATACAAATTATTTAAGGTGTTTTAAATCGATAGTCTAGGGGATAACACTTTTCCCATATAAAAAAAATCGATTTCTTTAAAAAAAAATTTAAAAATTCCAACTTTTAAAATTCTATACTTTCCCCCCCCCCCCCCCCCCCCCCCTTCAAAAAAAAAAAAAATAATCTATTTATTTTTTTGATAAAAATTATTTCGATAATTAATTATGATATATATTAATGTTAATAATTTAATTTCTATATTTATGAAAATATTATATAATTCAAAAGTTGAAGAGATAGAGGTTTTTGCTATATTTTCATTTAAATATACAATAAATCAGGGCCTAAACTCTTATATTTACATTTACATCTACATCTACATCTACATCTACATCTACATCTACATCTACATCTACATCTACATCTACATCTACATCTACATCTACATCTACATCTAAACTCATCATCATACTATCTATAACTATACAACATAACATACTAATCTATATTCACTATACTATAATATATATACTTACTCAATCTTACAAATACTAAACACATACAAAACTAAACATCGTATAATAGATAAATATAAAATATAAATTTCCTAAAGCTTGAACAAGCCAACAATATGACATTTGTACCTCCTAATCTCCCATCCAAAGACCTAGAAATACCCAAGTTTCTTGATATCATCCCAAGTACACACAAAAATCGCCTCGCCCCAGCCAAAAGTATATGATAATGACATTGGATCGAATTACATCAAGAACGCAATGTAAAAATATGCAAAAAAACCCGCATATATCCATCATGTACTTTAAAATCGCTCCAAAAACACAAGCCCAAAATACCCAACACCAGCTACAAGTGACGCTCACCCATACAGAGAGATAGCGCGCTCGACTTTGTTCAACACACCCAACCAACACCATGGATCCATAATATCAAAGAGATTGAGATGAAATCTTTGTGTCCGACCCATGTTACCCACCGAAATTCAAACACCGGTATGCCTTTCTCCATGATTGACAAGAAAAAAGGAAATCGTTCTATGTAACTTTGAAAGATGTATCTTTTTGTTTTCGTAGACCATATGAAGTCGCCGCTTCATGTATCCCACCCATTAAATAAAATGCTGATCCCAGAAACACCGTCGCAAAAGATATGCATATACGCTCCAAAATCAAAAACCTGCATTAAAGTGGGAAAACACCATCTCCTTATTTAAACAAAGGTATCGATATCTTGATGTAAGAGCGCCCATTAAACCATCTCAAGGAATATATGAAGAGGGGAAAGTGTCGGATGAATATACAAGAGGATTCGTTGAGGTTGTTATTTGTCATGTGCCGTCATCCATCGGGAAGATCGATGTCGAAGAGAGGGGTAACCCACCAGAAGGAAGATGATTGATTAAGAATGCATAAACACAGATTGAAGCGAAGTTAAGAAAACCAAATTTGCTAACGGGTGAAAACAGAAGCAGTCAATGGTCTAATAAAATCGAACTGGCACTCTGGTTGATTGTTGATGTTGTTGCATTCTGGCGGGTGATACCGAAGTAGGTGGGCTCGACATTAATCCTCCGTCATTTGGGTTCACGATGGGAATGGCGTTTCTCCCAATGCGTGTAGCGGAAGGTTGATGAATCTTGAGTGCTGCAACGTTGAAGCCGGATTGAACAAATGAATGAGAGTTGGAGTTTAAGGAAAAGTTTGTGTCAGGAGATAAGTTTATCGAGACTTGTGTCGATGGAGGTGAGTTTGTCGGTGAGCCACTTGCCAAAGAAGAACGATCCGAACCGCCATTGATTGATACCATGTCTTCTTCGGTCAAGAGGTTGGGACAGAATTCGGCGTCATCTTCTAAATCGAACGATCGGGCGTACTCGAATGTTCGACGATAAGTCATCAACAGGGCGGCTTCCTCTTCACGTTTCGCCATCTTTTGATGTTGTTTGGTTTGCTGAATGGAATTTGGGGGTTGACGGGCGTTTCGGTTCCTTCGATTGTGTACCGAACCATTTTGAGCATTGGAAGGAATCGTATGCTGTTGATGAGCGTTGAAGTGTTGATAGTAGGAAGACATTATCGGCTCATGTATGTTGGAGGCGGACAATGTAAGAGTGGGAGGTAAGAGGTTGTGTGTGTTTTGTGATTTTGTTGTGCTGTGCGTGTTGTGTGTGTTGTGTTATGCTTGGAGTGGAAGAGTGACCCGACCGGTAAGGCTTTGTGACGAGCAACAAAGGAATTTGACGGATTTTTGATGGGCGGGGGACGTCTATGATAGGATGGATGATGGGAAGAAAGATAAAAACAGATGAATGGAAGTGGAAGATATATTTGGATCCAGGGTTTTATTGATATTGATTGATATTGATTGATATTGATATTGATATTAATACTTTTAATCGAGTGATATTTTATTTTTTTTGCTTGTTCCGAGTGAAGTTTGTGTGCGTGTGTGTGTGGAAGGAGGTGAAGAAAGGATTTGTGAATGAATTGCCGATGGAAATGAGAATGAGAATGGAAAATGTAAAATGTGGGAGAACAAGTAGGTTTACATGATGGCTGGGGAGGGGAAAGAAGCAGTACCTTCGTACCTTAGTGGCGAAATTGAAATGGGAAGTCACACTAAAAGTGAGGGAGCTAAACCCAAAGATGTTTAGGATTGTTGATGTAAGATGAGAGTGCGTGGCTGTGATTGGCGGGAGAAGCGAGAGGTGAACATCATTAACTCCTTTGGCTCTAGTGGCGCGAGGGAATGGGTGGGAAGGGCGGTTTAAGCCGTCAGAAATTGGAATGGTCTCCGTACTAATAGTCTCCCCGGTCTAACCCGTTTGAGACGAAGCTTTTGTTCCGAGCATATCATGCCACACGCACAAGGTTCTCTCTCTCTGCCACTCTGCCACAGCATCTCACCAGAGTCACCACTCCGCCAGGGCCACACACACATCCAAGACCATTTCTCACTCAGGACTCCCAAAGCTTTTCGCTTCCACCATTCACATGCCTCACCCTCACGCACCTGCATGACAAGTTTGCATGAGAAGGAGAGAAGATGATCGCAATCGGACTAGATCAACAACAACACAACACGCCCTCAGGATCTTGACTCTTGAGTCTCGACAGGTTCTGACTTTCCCACATTATTACCAGAGGCGGATAGATTGAAACGGAACGGAGCGTTTGAAAAGGGAATCGAAGAAGCGTCGACGAATAGAAATGAACTTTCAGGGGAGTTTGACTTTCTCATCTGTTCATGGGACTTTGTGAGACTTTTGGGTTTGACATTGAAATGGCACTTGGGGAGATGTGTTAAGCGTACGGAGGATATTTGAATGGAATGAGTGAGAGCACTGAGAGGTATGATTTGAAAGAGTTGTTATGAAAGAGATGTTAATTGATGGAGTTGTTAATTGATAGAGTTATTATTTGATAGAGTTATTATTTGATAGAGTCATTAATTGATAGTCATAACTTGATAGTCATCAATTGATAGAGTCATTAATTGATAGAGATTGATAGAGACTCATTCTCTAATAAAATCTCATCATTCCATACCAAAAACTCATTTCATACCAAGTGTTCATCTAATAAAGAATAACTCAAACCAGAGTATTCATCTAATAAACAGTAAGAATCTTTCATCTCAGCGAGGTAGGTCCTCATTTAATACCAGTCCTTATCTAATACCAGCACTCATCTAATAGTCCTCATCCAATACCTAAATCCCTTGTACCTCATAAACCACAATCATCCTCTCCAAAATCATCTCATTAGATAACCTTGAAAATGCCCACTCACTTCACACTACACAGCCATACCTCATTTCCATCATCATCTCCATCATCTCCATCATCTCCATATCCATCCATCTCCATCTCCATCTCCATCTCCATCTCCATCTCTTTCCAAACCAAACCAAACCAAACCAAACCAGATCAAACCACCTGAAATGAAATCCCATAAAATTCCATATTTATTTAATATAAACCCACCGATCCATAATAGTCCGTCCACATACATACATACCAACGACTAGGTCAATATCCAAGCCGCTCGATCGAAATCGAAATCGAAATCGAATCCCAATCCAATATTGAATTCTCCAAAAATCGAAATTGAATACTCCATCCCTCCATCTCATCTCCATCTCCATCTTCATCTCCATATCTCCGTCCCTACCCAGTCCAGTATGGAATCATTCATTAGATTCATTACTGGCACAGATCAACGGCGTTCATTACAGATCAGATTACCCGTCCTCCGCAAGGTTAATTAATACATATGTGGACATCCAAAAATAGACCGACAGATGAACAGACAGATGGACAGACAGACAGATGAAGGAATGAATCAATGACTTCGGAATACTCAATGCAGAACAGTGTGATGGATGGTAGACTTCATATACTCCGTTGATACTTGCATTACCTATTAGATCAATACTACTAGTAGATACCTAGTATATACTAGGTAAATAAATAAATAAACAAACACTCATACATACAACCATAAAGTCCTTGATCTAAAAACTCCATACAGATGAAAATACCACCCACCATCTACCGGTAGATACCTACCACCAGAAAAAAGTAATTATTCCTTTTCATATATGATATACCGCACCGTTAACCTTATCCACCCATACAACTCTATCTACTCTGTATCTCGCTTCTTCATCAAGCCCATGTATACTCCGTATTCTTGGACGATGTACGGAGTGCTCTGTACTCTGTTCTCCGAATTGTAAGATCTTATATCCATCGACTATTTGAGATGAAATGAAATGAGATGAGATGAGTGGATGATACTTTACTTGACTTTACTTGACTTTTCTTTCCTCTATTTTCCTCTCTTCTTCTCTCCTCTTCTGCTACCTACCTACCTACCTACCCACCAAGCTCCAAGCTCAACCCAATCATCCCCATCCCATCCGCAAACCTCAAACCTCAAACCCAAAGCCCAACCACACGATCCCCTCCCCCCCTCACCCTACACAACCACCAAACCACCAAACCACCAAACCACAAAACCACCAAACCACACAACCACAAAACAAGCCAAGATCAAGAAACGAAACAAAACAAACAAATGCATAAAATCTGGAACACTCTAGGAACATATCATATCACTTACACTTACATATACAAACACACACACACACACACACTTATTACACTCACACACCTTCTTTCTCCCATTCTCTCTCCCAGACTCCTATCGTAGATACCTAGGCATATATGATATATCTCCGTATACACCACACCAACCAATCAATCCCCAATACTAGGTACACTACGAAACTACGAAACCATACTACCGAGCCACACTAGGCAATTCTAATACCAATCCCAATCCCAATCCCAATGCGATACTGAGTCCTGACTAGGTAGGTACCTAGATATGAGATGAGATGAGATGAGATACCTCCACCACTGGTGCTCCACTATCTACGATATCTATAATTATTTCCTATGCATAAGATTACCTCCAGCTACCTAGGTAATCTTGAAATGTATAAATGATTGGGCGTACCTACTTGTAGATATGATTGGATATCATATATTCCCGAGGTCTATCGTCTTCTCTTTTTAGAAGAAATTGAGAATTGGGAATTGGGAATTGGGAATTGGGAATTATAGTTTATATATCGTATATCTATGTATACATACCTAGGTATACCTAGTACCTATAGGTATTCATATATATATAACTAACCGCCCTCAGCGCCACAGCGTTAATAATGCGAAATGCGAAATGTAAAATACGAAATATAAAATGCGAAATGCGAATCAAATTAAATCGAATTTATAAATGAATGGATTGAATAAGATTACTAATAAAAGCGATGACTATCTAGGTAGTTACGAGTAGTTATATCTATAATCTGAATCTTAATCTTATTATTTAAAGATAGGTAGATAGATAGATAGATAGGTAGGTAGGTAGGTATATTATAGTTATATATATTATATAAATTAATAGAGTTATTTCGTACGAAGTAGATATACTAGTACTAGTAGTCCGTATAAAGTACTCCGTATATAAGTAACTATGTAAGTACCTATCTAATAAACACCCTCTATCAACCTCCATCTAGTCTTGGAAATCCCCAGTATCGAAGTGCGTGCTCCTCCATCATATTATATACAAGACGTTTCATCCACACCACACCAGACGGATCTGATCTGATCTGATCTGGGAGCACGATTATCGTTGCGTTGCGTATTGTTTCGTATCATTCGATTGATTCGAATGATTCGAATCAAATCATTTACTAATAAACTGATAAACTAACGAACTAACAAACTAATAAACTGATGAACTGATGGGGTGGATGGGGTGGATGTGATCACTGACTAGAATAAGGTTAGGTTTTTTAATAATTTATAATTTGTAATTTATAAAGAATTCTTTTTCCCTCTCTCTCTCTCTCTCTCTCTTTCTTCTAGATCGATCGATTCTCCGGTTTGATATTTGTATAATTATTTAATAGATTATTTATATATTTATATTTATATATATATACTAGATATATATTAAACTCTTATACTATTAATATTCTCATTATCTATATACGATCTAAATATTATAAATAAACAAAATACTCTAATAATTATATCTACTATCAATATAAAATTCTCTATTAATACTCTATTTTAGTATAGTATTAGTACTAACGTATCTATATATGATTAGTAAGTATCGAAGTATATTCATAGTATAGTATCGATAGATATCGTATATTTCCATTTCCATTTCCATTTCCATTTCCATTTCCATTTCCATTTCCATTTCCATTTCCATTTCCATTTCCATTTCCATTTCCATTTCCATTTCCATTTCCATTTCCATTTCCATTTCCATTTCCATTTCCATTTCCATTTCCATTTCCATTTCCATTTCCATTTCCATTTCCATTTCCATTTCATTTTATTTCATTTCATCAAAGGGTTCAGAGAAAACGGAGGAGAGAAGGAGAGGAGGAGAGGAGAGAAGAGAAGAGAGGGGGAATTCATGCAACCGAACATCATGTCGAGATACGAATGAGTATGAGGGTATGCTTGCTATACGCATGATGATATATATATACCTACTTGTCCCATCCCATCTACGCATAATCTTCATATCCTCTATCTTTGCATCTCATTCTATACACTTAGATAGGTATAATACAATCAATGCTATACGAGTGATTTTTAGATACCTACCTACCTACCTACCTACCTACCTACCCGAGTAAGTCTAGAACAAACCCAAACCCAAGCCCTCCCATTACGAGAAGAAAAAAAGCGAGGTTGAAAAGGAGTTGCAAGTCACGTCACAAGTAAGTACTCTGTATAAACGAGTACTACCTATTATACTATCGTACAGAACGAAGATTTATCAACCACACGATATCATTACATCTATCTTCGCTTGACGAGATTCTCACAATGCTATATATACCTATACATAAACAACAAGTAAACAAGACGCAAATCTATTTCGAGTATTTTGTAAAAAATTGCATCATAATCTCTGTCTCCTGTCTCCAGTCTCCGCAGTCTTCAACACCTCAAACCAATCACCTGTGATCCCCGCCACGTCATACAAAACACACTGTGAATGTTTTCCCAAACATTCAAATCGAATCCTAGTATAATATATTCTTCCCCCAAATTTCGAGACACGTGTCGATATTGAGATCAAATGTGATGCGTGCGACATGGAAATCTCACGATATGGAGATCTATCCCGCAAGGTAGCCAGTAAAGTACTCAACATCCAGTCACCAAATTGGTCAAGTGGAATTTGAAGAGAAATTCAAACAATGCTACAGTAGTTGTAATGGATATGCCATGCCATGCAATGTAGTCAGATCAAGCTTGTCCATAGAGTTGATGATAGGTCTTTCTAGTCTCCATAGCGTTTTACTTTGGCCACGATTCTTGCCTCTGAGTATATCGGGCATGACTACTTCGAAGATTGCTTGGGTAATTGCCGGGATGAAATTCCACATTCTTCTGTGTCCATGCTGCCAACAAGAAGAGGATTTATGTTGCTTTAGTTCGAATATCAGAGAGGCTTCAAAATTCGGACTGCATGTAACATCCACTCCCCTTTCTTTCATAGAATCGGATATTTCCAATGCATGCACTGAATAAGTCAGAAATCGCATCCATTTCTTATCCTATCTCACAAATTCGATTCATTTATCCAAACCTCGAGCTTTGATAAATCGGTTTATTTGTTCCCTTGTAAGCTTTTCATTGTAGTGTTCTTGAGCTTCATAAAATGATATCATTTCTTGCGTGCAATCAACAATCGCTTCGACATCAATAGTACTTTCAGCAAGCCAACTTGCCAATTTTTGCACTTTCGTTCTCCCTCCTTGCCTCTCAGGAGTTCCGCCTTTCGCTTGACCAGCGGTCGTTAATGCAGCTTGGGCGGCACTTGCAATATTGCTAGCCGAGGAACCACTAGCAGATTGAATTCCAGTTGCATTTGGGCGAAGTACGAGCGCTAGAAGAATAGCCATAATTGCAATAGTATGTGGTGCGTAAAATAGAGGTAAATCCGTCATGTAATGATCATTTACAATAGACCAAGCGAGATTGGATTCTTCTGCTGTTAGGGAGAAAGTCCCTTGAAGAGCAGTCAAACTCCTATAAGGATGATGGACAATCATTTGTGAACTCATTTCGGAGATCAAAAAGAATTCACATTCCCCAAGCCTCGAAGTATCATTACTGAAATATTCTAGTATCGTCATTAGCGAGTTCGGTGATTGTAATGTCCACGATTGAAGGTACGAGGAAACATACCAGGCCATAATCCTCTACCTTCACTAACCACAAGTCTGATATGATGTGGACATTCTTCCATTTTACATGCCAAATATACTGCTGTTGCCAGAACTAAATATGGGTTCGTTTTCCGAATTTCGACCTTTGAGTAAAATCGACGAATGTATAATTGTGCCGTGGCCATTGCTTGCTGTCGCACGCCGAGACGTTTTCCAAGTCGAGTCATTTCTGCATTGAAACATCAATCATTTATCCCTCCAAACAATCTGCAATGGTTCATACGTTGATTAAAATATATGCTCAGATGTCTGAGTTGTGGCAGAGGATATGCTTGTACAAGAGCTTGATCTTCATCTTCGAGTTTGGATCGTAAATCCTCCAATTGTTCTCGTGTGAATTGCCAGTGTTTTCGTTGACTTGACTATTGAAAGATTAGCTTCTTTCCCAAGGATGACTTTTCAACAAATGTAACTCACTTCCCAGTAGTTGGCAGCCATCGCAAATAGCTTGAAGGCAAAATGATTTCTCCGTTGATGCTTCGGACTCGATATCTCCAAAAGGGTCAAAGAAGAGGCACTAACCTATCCCAAAGCTCAATGAAATGTAGAGAAATCACAATTCGTTCACTTTCTTTAAAGATAATCCTTCAAGAGTATATCTTGATCGATGTAGGATTGTGAATGAGGATGAGGATACAACTCTCCCGAGGCCGAGACTTACGATAGCTCCAAGGCTGACAAGGCTGACTGTCATTGATTGAGGATCTACATCGGGAACCCTGCCCCTACTACGGTAGTGTGATACAACCAATCAAGCATTTCTCATTGGTCAAGCTTAATCTTTTGACGGAATCTTGGAAGTTTGCGCTCTGAATTATTATTGAAACTTCACTTCTATGCTGCCTCACTTCGCATTAAAACTTTGATATGGTATGAAAGTCGAAGAAGAATATGCTCGCTCGTTCGCATCGATGATAACCATATATCCTCAAATTTTGATCAGTTCATTGATCAATTACTATACGATATGATTGCGAAATCATAACCCCACGGCCGCAACTTAACAAAGATATCATGAAGCTATCAAAAGTAGCCGCAGTAGCAGAAACCCAAAATGCTCGCGACGAGAGGGTTGAGCAGTTATGGAGAAAATTAGACACAAATCAGAAAGGGGAGATTAATTTGCAAGAGCTTCAAAAGGGGCTGCGGAAGATTGATCACCCATTGAAGAATGCCGGTGATATGCTAAGAGACGCAGTAAAGGCTATGGATAAGAATGGAGATGAAGTTATTCAATATGATGGTATGGACCTTTGAGAAAATCTATACCCAACATCACTCCGTCGGCTTGCAGCTTGCATATATCCTTACTAATTCTTTCCTCCTCCAGAATTTCGAACTTTCGTCGAGAAAACCGAAAAAGAGTTGTTCGTCCTCTTCCAAGGCATTGATAGGGATAATGATAATAGATTGGATAAAGATGAATTGCAAGTTGCATTCAAGAAAGCTGGACTTACTATTTCGAAATCTAAATTAGACCTATTCTTCGAAGAGGTTGATATGAATCATGATGTTTGTACCAAAATTACCGTCTTGAAAATCTACCATTGACCATTTTCTAACTTTACTTCAAGGGATTTATAACATTCGATGAATGGAGGTTAGTACTGTCACTTCTCTTATGTCGAGTGAATGAACCATACCAGATGATGTTGATCTCTCACCAAACTTTCATTCTGTATGGTTGCTATGTAGCCGCTAAAAACCCCGGCGAACCGTTGAAACTACCTAGTACTGGTAGCCATGTTATGACCATATGTTTTCTAAACTTCGAAATCATCAACTCATCTGAAAGTTAATCTGTCCTAATTAATGTTTTTTTTTAGAAACTTCTTACTATTTTTACCTACTACAGCTTCTACCCAACCTTTAAAGGCCGTACTGTCATATTATCAGTCTGCAGTAGCTGTGAACGCCGAGGGCGATACTTCAATTCGAGAAGACACACTCGAAGGCTTAGGTACCAAAACAAATTTTCTTAAGCTTCTTTTTGGGGCAGTCATTAGTATCGCAGAATCGCATCGTGGCCGAACTCCTACAATTCAAATTGAAGAAGCATCTTCACCCACTTCTTCTCACAACCAAACCGCAGACATGGCCATTACAAATGTACAAGCGATCAGTTCTATTGACTCTGTTGATGATGTATATGACCACATTGTCGACCCACTTCATCCACGTGCTGAAACCATGGCCAATGTTATGAGGAGACGTCGGCCAGAGCTGACCCACGAAGTTCCTAAAAAGTTAGAGTCATCAGAGAGATCAAGACTGACGGAGATATTACCTGATCCAGGCTACTTCGCGGCGGGTGCTATCGCCGGAATTTTCTCTCGTACAGCAACAGCTCCCATAGATCGATTGAAAGTTTACCTCATCGCCAATGTCTCTGCAAAAAGTGCACCTCTCGAAGCTGCGAAACAGGGAAACCCGGCTGCAGCTGTCAAAATGGCCGGACAACCTATAATCCTTGCTATCAAGGAGCTTTGGAAAGTAGGCGGTATGCGTAGCTTATTCGCTGGTATGTTTATCCCATTGTTTATTCTTACCACAAACTGACAAATAAATAGGTAACGGCTTAAATGTCATAAAAGTTATGCCTGAAAGTGCTATCAAATTTGGCTCCTTTGAAGCTGCGAAAAAACACCTGGCTCAATTGGAGGGACATGGTAATTCTAAGAAGATTAACCCTTATTCAAAGTTTGTTGCTGGTGGTTTCGCTGGAATAATGTCTCAGTAAGTACTTGTATTCAAGTCACATGAAACAACTACTAATTCTTGATCGCAGATTGGTTGTCTATCCGATTGATACCTTAAAGTTCCGGTGAGATGCCCTTCCCACCCCTTGTAATCTGAATATTGAACTCATTCGTGTCTAGAATGCAATGTGAAACTGTTGCTGGTGGCCTTCGTGGAAATGCCCTTATTGCCGCCACTGCGAAACAAATGTATAAACAAGGTGGAATTCCATTCGCATATAGAGGTTTGACAATGGGGTTGGTTGGCATGTTCCCCTATTCCGCTATTGATCTTGCTACGTTTGAAACATTAAAGGGGTACGTGGCACGTCGAAATATGAAGCGCTTTGGATATAGTGAAGCAGATGCCATGCCAGGACCGATAGCCACAGGCGCCATTGGCGCATTCTCGGGAGCATTCGGCGCAAGCATTGTCTATCCAATCAATCTCCTCCGTACTCGATTACAAGCTCAAGGCACAGTCCTACACCCTCCAACTTATACTGGCATTGTGGATGTTGCACAGAAGACTCTTAAAAATGAAGGATTTCGTGGTTTGTACAAGGGTCTTGCGCCAAATCTATTCAAGGTCGTACCTGCTGTCAGTATCACATACGTCGTCTACGAACAAGCCAAAAAGACTATGGCCTTAAATTAGAAGCGCTCGACCTACTCGGCTTACTTGACACACTAATTCGTGTCTGTGTCGCATTCTGAGTTTCACATATTATATCCCGCAGGATTCAGTTGAAGGGGTTCTAGCAAGGGATCGGTTCCACAGTAACAATATTCTGTTATCTAAAAATGACCGAAATCAATAGTCGATTATATGAATCAGGCTCAGGTCTGTACCAAAATAACAACAAAGTAAAATCCGCAAATCGTTTTCATGTTTCGGTTTTTATGTCCTACACACCAGTACCCTAACGGCATTTCCACCTTCCATCATTTGATACCACTGTTGCCGGGCAGCATCTTTAGAACCATACCAAATTTTCTTTCCTTTATCAGCGTTAAGAGAACAGATCTGCATAAAACTGGCGTTAAAATTTACATTTTTTTCCTTTGTCATCCACAACTCGGCGTTTTAAGGAATGGAGATATACCTATGGATGGTAGGATTTATGATATATTTGCAGGTATACATTGCAAACTAGATGTGGTGTACTGATTCTGTATGCGCGTGGAAGTGGATGGAGTGAAAGGAGCCAGGGGAAGAGTAGAATGGTGTCCTAGATTTGTGCATATTGCGTTTGGGTTTTGTATCATGGTGATGATACATACATAACTCGGTACATTACATATGTATGTATGTAATTGTTTGCGGGTATATTGAGAATGAAAAAACTTACCTGCCCATGTATATATAATATGGTATGATAATTTGTGTGTGTAAATGAGGTGATCTGATGTGGTGTTGTTCGACGTGATGGTGAACCAGTCGGGAATGTCTTGAGATGTGTGTGGTGTCGTTAATGAATGTGTGTGATGGAAGTCTGGGTATGTATGTATAGGTATGTATATGTATATGTATGGATTGAGGAATGGGGAATGGGGTAAACGAGTGAGTGAGTGAGTGAGTGATTGATTGAGTTTTGGGAGATAAGAGTAGGCGTTTGTTGGGAGGGTTTGGAGGAGATTTATAGGATGAGGATGAGGGTAGGATGAGGATGAGTGATAGAGAGGAGATGGATGGTAGAGAGGGTGGGTATACGATATATGACATATATTTGGTAGATTTTAGGTTTAGGTTTCAGGGCTGGTGTTTGTGCTGGTATTGGTATTGGGAGTATCGGATTGGGAGAAGTAGATAGAGGAGAAGTGAGTTGGGGACGGGGGGTGAAGTTGAAGTTGAAATTGAAGTTGAAGGAGATGATTTAGTTTTAGGATTTGAATTGGAGTTTGAAATTAGATTCAAAGATTCAAAGATTCAAAGATTCAAAGATTCAAAGATTCAAAGATTCAAAGATTCAAAGATTCAAAGATGAACAATCTGGAAGGAAAGATAGAGCTTGAGATTGCAATTATAGAATTATAAAGTTAGAGTAAATGAAGATGATGAAGAAGAAGAAGAAGAAGAAGAAAACAAAACAAAATCGAGACAAGAAAGGGGTAAAAAACACATAAGCGGGTTTTACAATACATACAAACTCGAGGCGAGCTACCTACCACCATACCTAGGTGCGTAGCTATCACAGAGATATTATATATTATATATTATACATCATATATTTTATATTGCATATTGCATACTATTCCTCATATAGTCTCCATATGAATATTCATATAACATACCTAGTATATAGATATCAACATGAACATCTCAAGTCAAGTAAGTAACTAAGAGAATCAGAATTCTGAGACCATAAATGTAGAGAAAATATATATATTGAACACAATCTTGCTAGGCTAGTTTATCAATCAACACCCCAGCTCCAAATATCAAGTGAAGATTTTCTTAAGATGTGGATGGATGTCGCTGGTAGGTAGGATGGAAGATGGGTAGCTATTCAATCCAATCCAATCCAATCCAAGCTAAGCTAGTTGTTGATGAGATTTCATGAGGGACAAAGTAAAGGTTTCTACAGAGAACTTGTCCTTCTTATTCCACTCACCCAGGCTTTCCCTTGTACTCCTTACTCCGATTCCTGCGCCTCTGTAATCGTCACGTTGCCTCCCATGGTCTGTCTGTCAAGGTTT